CATGGGGTGAGGCCTGCTGCATCAGCTTCCCATTTGTCTAGAAGCACAGGAAGTCCAGTCTTTATGTGCTGTCCCTCTCTCTCTCTTTCTAATGGAGCAGCCCATTCAAACCTTTAAAAATCTGTGTGTGTGCATGTGTGTGAGTGTATGTGGGTATGTGTATATGTGTATGTGGGTGTATGTGTACATGTGTGTGTATGTTGAGCGTGCATGTGTGTGTGTGTGTGAGTGTTATGTGGGGACACATCAGAAGACCTCAGGCATTGGTCCTCCCCTCCCACCTCAGGCCCCGGAGCTGCTCAGAGCCTCCCATCTCCACCTCTCCTAGCTATGTGGAAGTGCTGTGGATATGGGTGTTTGTCTGGTCTCATGGGTTCTGGGAATCCAATGCCAGGTCTTTCCTGGCAATTACTTTGCCTGCTGAGCCCTCTCTCTAGGCTCCTTCCCTTTAAAAAAATTATTACATGAGACACATGAACCTTTCTGCCTTGTCCCCTGTCCCTCCTCCACTTGCGACCCTGAGTCATGTGGTTCTGTATTCTAGATGCCTGCTCAGAGCTCTGCTTTTTAGGGGGCTCCAAGGCTGCTAACTACAAAGCATCTGTCCCGCTTCAAAGTGGGAACTTCACCATCAAGAAAGTAACCGAGGCGTCCCATAGCCGGATCTGATGCCTACATAGTACAAGAAGCTATGCGCCTAAGCTTGGGGGTGTCTGGCAAAGAGGAAAGAGGGGTGCACCCCTGGGAAACATAAGAGATGGGGCCAGTACGCAGCCTTCACACTCTCCAGGGCTTCTGCAGGGCTTGGCACACTTGGCTTGAGCATATCTACGCTGCCTGAGACTTGACTCTTAATATGCCTGTGTGGTATGTAGCTGGTGCCCATTTACTTCATTATTTATTTATTGAACCAAATCACTTCAACAATTCTTGGGCAGTCGAGTGTAATCTGATTTGGTTTTCAACATGCTTTTAAAGTAAAGAAATAAATACAGTGGAGGCTTGTTAAAGGAAATCGCCAGGGAATGGGCCCTGGCCCCATAACTTTAAAGTAATAGCCGCATTACAGGGTGGGGCGATGGGCTTTTAACTGTTCCCAGACATTTAAGTCAGAAGGGAGAGGGCCCACCTCACAGGCTGGGCAGCCAGGCCCTCCCCGAAGCCATTTAACCTCCATTTATGAAGAAATAAAGCGAAACTGATGCTGATCGGGCCGGCTGGGGGATGTTTCTGATCTATAAAAGCCCTCGGCCTGCAATTTGTGGAGTGGCCCTGTCACACGGGAAGAGCCTTGCTGATAAAGATGGAGCTTTATGGCCGGATACGCACCGCTAACAGCAACCTAATGCCACATTTTCATTTCTGTGCAATTAATGTTAATGTCGACCACGAAATTGTCATTAAATACCATTTTAAAATCCATTCAATTTGCATATGCAAAGCTCATTTACCATCACAGGAGATGCATCCAGCACTTCATCACGTCCTTACCCTGGAATTGTGGCCACTCCATTTTATAGCAATTTAAGATTTTTATATTGAGAGCTGATGGTGTAATGCATGGCCTTTTTGAGCCCAGCTGACTTGAAGGATGGAAAGCTGAGGCAGCCCAGGGACCAGAGTTTTGGGGTGTCTGCACCATGCCAACATTAGAAAGAGGAGAGAGTCTAAGGAGGGCCTTCCCTCCTTAACTGTAGACCTGGCTCCATCAGCAACAGTGATGTGTGACCTTGGGGCACTTTTCTCACCTCTCGGAATGTTCTACTTCTCTTGTTTCCAATAAGAGCTCTCAGTCACGTGACTGCTAATGTATGTTCTAATATTAAACATTTCAAAAGAGAAGTCTACCAGGTTAAGAATCTGGGCCAAGCCTGACTAGTATAAATTTGGGGAGGTCAGTTAACCCTTCCCAGCTTCCTGTGGGTAAACAGGCCCCTGTAGCCTCCAGTGAAGGTTCTAATAACATTAGAATGAAGTTGACATGAAAGTTTATAGAAAGATGGGGAGAGAGAACGCCAGGTTACTGGTATGCCGCCACCTGGTACATTGGAGGAGAATTCCCAAGTGAGAGCGACTGTCAAAACTCAAAACACAGAGATCACATACTAGAAGCCCAGATATAAAATAGGAGAAAATGGGAAGAAATTCAGAGAGGTTTCTGTAACTCCACAGTCTGCAGGGACAAGGTGAGGATCACCAAGCTGGGCTGGGGCAATCCAAGAACACAGAACTCAATCGGAGAACTCAGAAGCAAGGTTCCCGTGTATCTCACCACTACCACACCTCACTACACTGCCACCACTGCCACATCACTGCCACCACTGCCACATCACTGACTCATCACTGCATCATCACTGCCGCATCACTACATCATCACTACATCATCACTGCCTCATCACTGCCTCATCACTACATCATCACTGCCTCATCACTGCCTCATCACTGCCTCATCACTACATCATCACTGCCTCATCACTGCCTCATCACTGCATCATCACTGCATCATCACTGCCTCATCACTGCCACATCACTGCATCATCACTGCCTCATCACTGCCTCATCACTACCCCATCACTGCATCATCACTGCCTCATCACTGCCCCATCACTACATCATCACTGCCTCATCACTGCCTCATCACTGCATCATCACTGCCTCATCACTGCATCATCACTACATCATCACTACATCATCACTGCCTCATCACTGCATCATCACTGCCTCATCACTGCCCCATCACTGCATCATCACTGCCTCGTCACTGCCACGTCACTGCCTCATCACTGCCTCATCACTGCCTCATCACTGCCGCATCACTGCCTCATCACTGCCTCATCACTGCCTCGTCACTGCCTCATCACTGCCTCATCACTGCCTCATCACTGCCTCATCACTGCCACATCACTGCCTCATCACTGCCGCATCACTGCCGCATCACTGCCTCATCAGTTTCACATCGCTGCCACATGCTGGGTTTTAAGGGTTGTATAGAGAAACGTGTTTCTAGCAGGAGGTGGGTGACCTCATGAAAAGGGGCTTTTGGATTGGTGTCTGAAGAAAATGGCAAGATGGTGGGAACTGAAGTTCCCAGAAAAAGCTGCCCCTGTGTTACACATTCTAAAAGGCTGACTGACTGACTAGACCTTCAGGGATTGCAGAGTTAGAATGCTACAGGCCCAGAGCCACATTATCTTGGGCTATCTTTTTTTTTTAGATTTATTTATTTATTTATTATGTATACACTATTCTGCCTGCATGTGTGCCTGCACAGCAGAAGAGGGCACCAGATCTCATTATGGATAGCTATCAGCCACCATGTGGGTGCTGGGAATTGAACTCATGACCTTTGGAAGAACAGCCAGTGCTCTTAACCTCTGAGCCATCTCTCCAACCCATCTGGGCTATCCTTAACCCCACTGATAGCCCTTCCTTGTGCACCTGTGTCCGAGCTAACATCGTTTTGTAAGGTACACACAGAACCCCGTTTCCACAAACCCAAAGACTAAGAATGTCATCAGATGGCGTCTGAGGCCTAAGCAGAGGCTTCTCTGCCAAGGAGTTCGTGGGGCTTTTGGTGGGTGTGAGCTTCAGTTTGGGAAGATAAACAACTGAAGGGACAATTGGTGATTGCAGACAGTGACAGGGATGTGTCCACTCCCACTGGTTAAAATGATAGGATTTTGCCACAATAAACACATGAGGAACAGAGGGACCAACCAACCAACAAACAAACAAAACAAGAGTGGCTCAGCATAGCCAATCACTGGAGGTGGGGGAATTGGATTCCCTGAATGGCCAAGCTTGGTCCCATGGCCCTCCCTGGAGTCAGGGTGAAATAGGTACCCACTGTGCACATGGGCTGATGGTAGGTAAAAAATATGGAGAGAAATAAGATGGAGGCCAGTTTGAGTCCATGGAACTAGGGAGGGGCCAGTCCAGGAAACAGAGTGAGCAGCCAACAGGCCTGGTGCCATGGGAAGCATGGAGTCTCTTGGTCTGAAGTGGCTGATTGAACCCCACAGTGGTCATGGCCTCGCTTCCTGACTACGGGGCCAGATAGCTCCCGTCTCAGGGTAACCCATGCTTCTAGGGTGCAGGCCAGATTGTCTACATTCATCTAGTGGTCTGTGACAGGAAATGTCTCAGCTCCTAGTTTACCATGGAAAAGTCAACTGAAAAAGATGTATTTTTATTTTATGTATGGGAACATTTGTCTGCATGCACACGTGTGCGCCGTGCATGCAGTGCCCACAGAGACCAGAAAGGGTGTCAGATCCCCTAGAACTGGATCTTTCACAGGGCTGTGAGCCCCTCGAAAGGCTGGGAACTCAGGCTTTCTGCAGAATCAACAAGTGCCCTTAGCCACTACTCACTCGGCTTTCCTGCCCAAACCTCCTTGCTCCTGGGTCTACAGTTTGAATCACATCACCTTAATCAGAGGCACAGCTTGCATGAACTGAGGGCTGGCTATGTCCAACTCCCAAAAGGAATGTCTTTTCAATGAAGTGAAGTCTTGAGAGCTCTTAGCAGGGAGGGGCAACAGTCACTGCTTTGACCCCCTGTACAGGTACGGGACTGAGGCAAAGCCTCGGTCACAATCCAGACTCAAGTCTGGTGCTTCTGCGGCAGGCTCTTGGTTGTCTGAGCCCTCCCTCCAGCCCCAGGTGGTATCTGCTTGTTTGTTTTTTGTTTGTTTTGTTTTGAGACCAGGTCTTTTGTAGCCTAGGCTGGCCTCAAACTTGAAACATGGGCAATGTGGGCAAGAATGACGATGAATTCCCCTCCTGCCCCTGCCTACCAAATACTGGGATTACAGGCACATGTGTAAGGTGCTACCACACTTTACAAATGCTCACCGGCCAGGGCATGACCTGTTCTTACTTCCTACCATAGCTTGGCGTCAGCCACTCTAAGGCTCTCTTTCTGGCTCCCAGCTCCCTGGGGGCCTCGTTACCCTCAGCAGCCACAGAGAAGGTTGGAGCTGGGTTCCCTGACCTTACCGTGAACGGATCCCAAAGGTCATGTTGGGAGGGACACTGGGTGGTTCCTTCTGTCGCCGGTCTTCCTGGTCACTGATTCGGATGTCATTAAGTTGGCGGTAGAGCATATTTTCCCGGGCAGTCACCAGGCCAGCTTTGACAGCCCCACGGTTCATGGCAATATAGTTCCGGGTCAGCTCTTGCGGGCAGGTGGGTTGCTGCTTAAACACATTCCAGTGCCCAATAGCTGCAGGTAAAGAGACAACAGAAGGGTGAGTGTCAGTGGGAGGTAGGTACCTGGGACTTCTAAAGAGGGTTCGGGGCTCCCATCACCCCCTCCTACAGGAGGACAGTGCTTTCTGGCCCTGGCAAGCAAGCCATCTGAAGGGAGAGACCCATTGCCCAGAGATCCCAAAGGGGGCCTGTGATGGTCAGCTTTGATTGCTAACTTAGTCTCAAGGAGGGATGGAGTCTCATGGAGCTAGCGTGCAGGAGTTGTCTGAATTAAGTGGATTGTTGTGGAAAGACCCAGTCCACTGTGGGCGGCACCATTCTTACGCAGGGGATCTTGAACTGTAAAGAGTAAAGAAGTCAGGCTGAGCACAGGCTAGCCTGTGAGCAGGCATGCGTCCATCCTCTGCCCTTGACTGAGGACGTCATGTTTCCAGGTGCTTTATGCTCCTGCCACCACGATTCCCCTGCAGTCACGGAGGATTATGAGCTAAGTAGGCCCTTTTCTTCCTTAAATTGTTTGTTGCCAGAATTCCCCCTTCCCCCGCCCCCCAAGAAAGGATTTCTCTTTGTAGCCTTGACTGTCCTGGAACAGAGCAAGTTCTGCTCTGTAGGCCATGCTGGCCTCGAACTCAGAGATCCAGCTGCCTCTGCCTCCCGAGTGCTGGGATTAAATGCGTGCCCCACCGCCCAGCTTTGTTGTCAGAATATTTGATCACAACAAAACCAAACCAGTTAGCTTTGACTTTCACAGCCCTCAGGGGATCACCCTGAGACTGTTCAGAAGGAAGACAGCCCGCCTGGGCTACCTTTGGCCAAGGTTTTACCTCCGGGATACCAGATCCAATCCAGGATACCATCTCTTTTTTTCCCTCTTACTTTTCCTGACAAGCGGCTTTATCAAAGCTGGCTGAGAGGGGGAAGAAGGTGTGAGCCCCCTAATCCACCTCTCAAATCTCTGTGCTCCTAAAGACACCCACTCACCTTCAGGGACCCCTCCATCTAGCCCTCGGATGTAGAGTCCATAGTTAAAGTTGAGGCCAGGCAGGCTGCAGCTTCTCTCCCGGGGCTTGCCAAGTTCCGCCTGTTGGGGAAAGAGGGCTGAGGTAAGCCTTAGACCTAGCTGGGGTGGACACTGTCTCCCCAGCAGCAGGGCTAATAGGGTTCTTCCTGTGAGGGGCAAGCAAGCTGCGCGTGGGGTCCCCAAGCACCCATGGTACACAGATAGGCAGAGCAGCTAGCTGGATCTGGACTCTCCTGGAACTGAGAAATAAGTTCAAGAAGATGGAGGGAGGTTCAAGGAGAGAGGACCAGCTTCCCTGCCTAACACACTTGGCTGGAGAGAGCCACTTCCTCTTTGAGTTCTCATCTGTCACCTTGGCACCTGGACAGTGACTCCTACTTCTGGGTCTGCAGCAAGCTCCTCTTTGACTCCCAGGATGTCATCGTTATCAGCCATAGACATTCCCCCGACTCTATAGACGAATCACCCACAACTCCTAAGGGATGGTTGTGTCTGTCCAGGGCAGGCAGATTTAGCCCACGTGAGGAATGAGGACCCTCAAACAGGAATGAGCAATGGAGACTCATAGTAGGGAAAGCCAGACAGTTTCTTTTATGATCTTGCAAGGTTGGGCATCAACCTAGACAGTGGTGGGCATGCCTTGAGCACAGAGAACAGTCACATAGCCCAGAGGGCTGACTACTCCCTCCCTGCTTTTCCTTGTTGGCTAAGTACTGGTGTGTTTGGAGGGTGTGTGTGTGTGTGTGTGTGTGTGTGTGTGTGTGCGCGCGCGCGCGCAAAATCTTACATGTCTGCTGCTTACATTCCTCTATTTCTTTAAAAACCAAAACATTTGTTTATGGGGGGAGCAGAACAGTCAGAGGTGTCTCAGTCAGGGTTACTGTTGCTATGATGAAACACCACGACCAAAAGCAATTTAGGGAGGAAATGGTTTATTTGGCTTACTTCCACATCATGGTCCATCATGGAGGTCAGTTCAGGAGATTAAACAGGGTAGGAACCTGGAGGCAGGAGCTGATACAGCGCCATGGAGGGATGCTGCTTATTGGCTTGCTCCCATGGCTTGCTCAGTCTTCTGTCCTATAGAGCCCAGGACCACAAGCCCAGGGATTGCATCACCTACAATGGGCTGGGCCCTCCCCCATCAATCAATAATTAAGAAAATGCCCTAAAGACTTGTCCACAGCCTGACCTTATGGAGGCGTTGTTTCAACTGAGGCTGCCTCCTCTTTGATGACTAAAGCTTGTGTTGACATAAGACTAGCCGGCACAGGAGGGGTGTTGTGGGACTCCTCCCCTTCCATGTGAGTTCTGGGAATGAAACTCCGATAGGCAGGCGTGGCAGCTGAGCCACCTCTTCCTCACCTTTGTCTTTTCTCAACAGGGACCCTGCACAGATTCGTCCCTACTTCCCATACTCAGCTGATTTTAAAGCTTTCCAGCTACATGAACTTTATTTGTGGATCGTTAAGCAAACTCAGCTAGTAGTCATTTTTTGACTCTACACTTTTAGTTTGGGTGGGGATAGCTAGACTAGCAGGCACCTGCCGGGGTTGACTGTTTCCGGTTTCCGATTGGCCTAGGCTGACAAGGCAGTTCTGTCTTGACAATGGACCATTCTATGCTATTTCTTACACTCAGGATCAGGCTCTTTGTTACTCTCCATACCTCGCTATAACCAAGGTTCCCGTAGGCTGGAGGCACCGCCCTGCCTGGCTCCCGGAGTATCTTCCACGCCTTCCTCTTCACAGGAGAACACTCTCCTGTGCTTCCTCCCATGCCTGCTCCCGTTCACTTCTCACAACCATCTAGCTCAGTGCTTTTCAATCTATAGGTCATCACCCCTTGGGGTCAAATGACCTTTTTTCAGGGGTCACATATCAGGTACCTTGCAAATCAGATGTTTATATTACAATTCATAACAGAGGCAAAGTTGCAGTTATGAAGTAGCAACAAAAATGTTATGGTTGGGGGTCACCAACATGGGGAGCTGTATTAAAGGGTCATAGCATTAGGAAGGGTGAGAACCACTTATCTAGGGACTCAGGGCTCACCACCTCCACTTTCAGATGGGGAGAGTGAGGTTGCATATGGCCATGGGTAGGAGGGGGAGAGTCTGGTCGGCAACCCCAGGTTTCTGTCTTTGACCCACGGGTTGACTAAATGTCAGGGCCATGTGGCTTTCTGGTGCCTTCAGCCTGTGGACACACTCTTGACGGTGTATCCATGGAACAGGCTGATGGCGCCCCACAGTGACCAGGTTATGTATCCCAGGATCTGCCCATGCTAGCCTCATTGGGTTATTCAGAGGTGCTGGCAGCTCCCAGCTTACAGGGTGTTCAAGAGTCTCCTCTCAGCAGGCTAAGGTGTGGAGGAACAGAAGTCAGGGGATACCCTTCAGCACTGCTCACAGCTCTGGCTGCTCACTAGCCCTGTGGCTGAGAGGCACAGTGGCCCCGCTATCAGCTGATGGATCAATAGGACTCCCAGTTTCATCTCCTACACTCTTTGCTGACGCTTTACCCTTCAAGCCCTTGGCTCTGCCGCCACACCTTCATTCCCAAACTCAAAGTGGTCCCTCCCTCATCCAAGTGGTCCCTCCCTCATCCAAGTGCATTTTTCTGAGCTGGGGCCTTATGTAACATAAAATGGCCTCAAGCTCACTAGGCCAAGGACGATCTTGAATTTTCGATCCTCCTGCCTCTGCCTCTCAAGGGCTTGGATTCCAGGCTTGAGTTGCCAGTTTGTGTGGTGCTGGAGAGCCACAGCTTTGTGCATGGGAGACAAGAGTTCTGCCAACTGCACCAAAGCCCCGCTCCTGAGTGTCAGTATTACATTGTGCTCTGCTCCATTCTAGGCCTTCTTGCATGGGTCACACAGTCACTAAGGTCCTTCTCCCTGGTGACACATGGCAGGTGTGCAACAGGTGCCTAAGATAAAAGGCTTCTCCAGGGCTGGAGGAGTGGCTTGGTGCTTAAGAGTGATTACGCTCTTGTAGAGATTCCAACCCAGGTAGGGAGCCTTGCAAATACTTGTAATTCCAGCTCTAGAAGATCTGGTGCCCCTTTCTGGCCTCTACGAGCACTACACTCATTTGCACATACCCAAACATAGACACATACATTCACGTAAATAAAAATAAATATATATATTTTAGAGTCGGTCTCAGTCTGTGGCCCTGACAGTCCTGGAACTCACTACTCTGGCCATGAATTCACAGAAATCTGCCTGCCTCTGCCTTCCAAGTGATGAGATTAAAGGTGTATGCCACCTTTAATAGTAATTAAAATAATCTGTAGAGGCTCCTTTGGAGAGGCCTCTGGGATGGCATCTAGACAGGCTCCTTGTTGCCTCTCAAGGTTGTGGTCCTTGTGTGAGAAGCAGATACAGTATCTGTCACAGCATGCTGGACCTTGACAGCATGACTCTTCAGAAGCAAATACAGACAGCCATATCCGTGAGAGCCCATCATGCAGAGGCCCACAACAGGCTGTTCGCAGAGGCAGGAAGGTGTGAGGCTGCCAGGTCAGGCTTGGATGGTGGCTGAGGGATGGCATGGCTGACTGGGGAACAGTTCCCTATGAGGAGAGAAAATGTTCTACAGGGGACGGTGCTGGTGATTGCCTGACTCTGGTTACCCTAAGAGCATCTTACGAACTTTGAGGACAGGTGAACTGGATGGTACAGTGATAATAATTACATCTCAAACAAGGCTGTGGGAGAAGTGTGAAGGCAAGTGCTTACATCAGCAATTGTCTGACGCTTGGCTGGCTCCACCCCATCTCCTGGAGGCTGTGTGTCCATGGGGGCAGTGGTCCAGTGCACGCGAGTGCATGTGTGTATGCGTGCAGGTGTGTCTGCCAGTGTTCGTGTGTGTGTGTGTGTGTGTGTGTGTGTGTGTGTACGCGCGCGCACGCGCAAACGTGCTTGCATACATGCATTCTTCAGAATGCTTTCCAACTTGTTTTTTTCGACTGAATCTCCCAGAGCCAGGCGCTGGCTCAGTAGGCCAAGCTTTCTGCGTGAATTCTGGTGATCAAACTCAAGTTCTTGTGCTTGGAGGGCAAGCACTTTACCAACTGAGCCATTTTCCCAACGCTATTTGTTTTAATAGTCACTTTAACATTTTTAGAACAATATAATCGATTTTAAAGAGGGTGAAATAGGGCTGGAGAGTTGGTTCAGAGGTTAGGAGCACTGGCTAGTCTTCCAAAGGTCCTGAGTTTTAGTCCCAGCGACCACATGGTGGCTCACAGCCATCTAGAATGAGATCTGGTGCCCTCTGTTGGTATGCAGGGGTACATGCAGGCAGAACACTGTCTATAAGGTAAATAAATAAAAAATAAATCTTGGGGAAAAAAAGAGGGTGAAATAATCCAGTTGATCTTGTATTTTGTTGTTGATGTTTGTTTTGTTTTATTTTTTGAGTCAGGATTTCTCTGTGTAGCCTTGGCTGTCCTGGAACTCACTCTGTAGACCAGGCTGGCCTTGAACTCACAGAGATACACCTGCCTCTGCCTCTCATGTGCTGGGATCACAGGCGTGCACCACCACGACCTGGCAATTCAGTCTTAACGTGACTTGAAATATGTGATAATATAGTTAAAGGTTATGTTTGTTTTCTCCCAGCACTCACCAACACAAAAGATGCTAGCAACACAGCTTGACTGAGGGCACAGATGAACTAGGCCTGTGATGAACCTGGTATAACTACCTCACCACACACAGAGCGGCTGAACCTTATCAGTCCTTTCTACGTGTCCTAAGGTGGAAGTCCCAGATCTGGACAACAGCTCATTGGGTCTGAGAAGGGCCTGCCTCCCCAGTCAGCGGACGGCTGCCTTCCACGTGAAGTCCACAGGATGGAGACTACAGATCTGGAACTCTCCTCTGCTTCCTCGAAGGGCACAAGTGCCATGAGGGGCCCACTCTCAAGACCTGACCACCTCCCCAAGGCTCCGTCTGCCAATATCTCTGGAGTTAGAATAGTCCCGAGTGACTCTGGACACAGCACTCGGTGAAACAGCCTCTCTGCAGTCTCTGTTCCTCCCTCGAGCAGC